AGAATAAAGCTTATGAATTGGCCTAAGTGGACATAGGAATGTATCGTTTAGCATTTCACAGCATTTGGTAAGGTAGGGTTACTCAGTAAATATGCTGGGGCAATTCATCCATTATAAGAAAAAGTTAGTTCCTACTCTTATATCAGTGTTTATCAAAGTGTGGCCACAGGCATCAGAATTCCTTGGAGCACTTTTAAAACATTAATTCATTTTTATTTTTCAATTATAGTTGACATACAATATTATATTAATTTCAGGCTTACAACTTAGTGATCAGACATTTATATAACTTACAAAGTGATTGCCCTTATAAGTCTAGTTACCCCCTAACACCATACACAGTTATTAAAATATGATTAACTATATTCCCTAGACTGTACTTTACATCCCCATGACTATTTTATAATTGCTTATTTGTACTTCTTAATCCCCTTTACCTTTTTCACCCAGCACCCCAACCCCCTTTTGATCTGGCAACCATCATTATCTGTGAGTTTGTTTCTGTTTTGCTCATTTATTTTGGGTTTTTTTAGATTCCATACATAAGTGAAATCATATGGCATTTGTCTTTCTCTGTCTGACTTATTTCACTTAGCATAATACCCTCTAGGTCCTTGTCACAAATGGCAAGATTTCATTCTATTTTATGGCCGAGTAACATTCCATTGTATATACCAGGTCTGACAATTCAGTTCCTGAATTTTGTTGCAACGATGTTGCTAACCTTCTTTTGATACCAGAGGGATTATTTATTATGAATTTGTACCAACTGGACAAACAGTTAACCAAGTTTACTATTTGGAAGTGCTGAAAAGGCTGCATGAAAAAGTTAAACGACCTGAACTTTTTGCCAACAATTCATGGCTCTTGCATCACGACAGTGCACCAGCTCACAGGGCACTGTCTGTGAGGGAGTTTTGAGCCAGTAAACAAATAACTATTGGAACACCCTCCCTACTCACCTGATCTGGCCCCCAATAACTTCTTTCTTTACCCGAAGATAAAGAAAATATCGAAAGGAAGATATTTTGATGTCATTTAGGACATCAAGGGTAATAGGACAACAGCTCTGATGGCCATTCCAGAAAGAGTTCCAAAATTGCTTTGAAGGGTGGACTAGGTGCTGGCATTGGTGCATAATTTCCCAAGAGGAGTACTTCAAAGATGANTGGCTGATTACAAACTATCAACACAACCTCTCTGAACACAGAGTTGGGAAGATACAGCCTGCTCTCACAAGGAAGTAGGAGCCAGATCTTGCATACCACTGCCTTTAAGAGAATGCCTCTAGTGACAGGAAACTCACTACCTCTTGGTGTGGTCCATTTTACTCATCTTTCCATCTGTCTTGGGCCTCTCAGATTTCATCCTCTTTTGAGGGCCGGAACAAGTCTACTCCTAAGCAAAACTTAGAAAACTGTCAAAGCAGAATCTGTCGTTCTTTCATATTAACCAGCACTTTAATCCCAGCTCTCATTTCTGGTTTCTATTTCTACAGATATTTAAGAAACAGAAGGGACTTTAGGATTAGAGGTCAATGATTCTAGTAAAAAGGAGTAATTATCGCTTCTTAGTCTTGAGTAATGACCTTCGACTGACCTCCTGATTGTCCACTTATAGCTAGCACATTATTTTTCTAATTAATTTCATTCAACAAATATAATAGAAAATCTACTTGGTGCCAGTCCTGTGCGGGGCACTGTAGGGAAACCAATGGGACACAGTCTCCAATCTTAGGGGGCTTACTGTTTAATGAAGGAGAGAGAGAAGTCAGTCAATACTCTCAAATGCTTTCTTCTATGAGAGAGAGGGTGGAAATGTGCTCTAGGAGTTTCTGTTGTGGCAAAGTCCCTTCTGACTCAATGGTCAAAGATGACATGAAATTTTAAGGCTGAATGGTCATCATCTAGAAATTGCTGCAATGTTTGTGGTTTGCTGTATTTGGTGTTCGTGCTATAGAAAGGAGCCAGTTAGC